TACTTTCTAGACACTTTTTGACCAGTTGGACACACACACAATAAAATTCCTTACTCTTAAGAATGTTATTAAACTAAATGCATATTTCACATTTAAAAAACAACAAAATGGGGTTACAAACTTAATTGTACAATTATTGAGAAATACCTTTTGTATTTCTTTTTCAACAAATTTCCATAAATTTAAAATTTAATATTAAAAAAAAACCCTCAACATTTGAAAGATCAGTTTAAATTGAACTTAAAACAATCACAAAGGCATAGGGAGTGGGTTTGGCAGCTCTATTATTAAGCTAATATCAGTGGGTGCATCTACATGTGCACTTAACTGTGAAGTAGACTAATTTGCTTTGATATAAAGTGTCACATTACTGTCAGTGACAGTGCTATCTTATGGTGGTGAAAATAACGGCACCTAAGTGCACGTGTAAATGCTTACTCAGGCATACATAGTTCCTGGTTAGCCTGGGCAGGAGGGGGCTAGACCCCTGCCGGTTGCCTAGCTCCAAGGCTGGGGCACTCTTGTTCCCCAACCAGCCCCTCCACTGCCTGATGCTGCCTCTTGGAGCCCGGGGGTGACCCCTGGGCTCTGTGCCAGCCTGGGGCTGTTCTGCCTTGGCTCAAATTGCTGCAGTCCCAGGTCCAGCATCTCCATGTGTGTCCTGGTTCACAGCAGTCTGAACATTTACACATGCCATTAAGGTGCCATGACAAACTCTGGTGTAAACTGTGTTGGAGTTTATCACGTTGCCTTAATGGCACATGTAGATGCACCCAGTTTCAAAGTTCATAATCACTTTACCAATTATGCACTGATTGACCTATGAGCTACAATTAATCAAGACAGAAGTTGTATTGAATTTTTAATTCCCCATGGGTTATATCATGGAATAGCTCCATTTATTTTGGAGTTTGTTCCTCCCCAGTGAAAATAACAACAACAACAATAAAAATATCATCCTAATCTAATCAATGATAACTAGTGGTGGTTAAAATACTTTGATGTCACCCTCAAAAGCTTTGCAAGGTGTGACTTCAGTAAGGAATATGTAATATCAAGTGTAACCAGGATCGGGCTCCAGAAAGAGCTGTGATGCCCCCTGGTGGTCCCATAACCCATGCTCTGCTCTGCTTCTAGGATACTCTCCTCTTCTTCTTACCTGCCATGCCTTGATACACTTATTAGATTGAAAAGGAGGCTGCCTAAGGGTCCTAGAGCAAGCCCCAATCTGTCTATTAGTTAGTAGGTCTCTCCCGGACACTGCTGTTCTCAATTTTTCTCTTAAGCTGTGAGGACACTCTCAGCCCTTCCATGCCCCAGGGCACCTGTAAGCCTTAATGGCTAATTACTTGGCTCACAGATGTTGCCTGTCCAATCAGTCTCCCTTGTTGTGACCTCAGCACACTTGGCCTCCATCTCTTTGCTCTTGCTGGGGCCACTTAGCTCAGATCTACTGAGTTGGACCTGGCTTCTGGGCTCCAGCTCTAATCTCCCTCTATTGGGATATAGTTTAGCTGCTCTTGGGCTTTGGGCCTCTGGCCCTGGGTTTCACCCCTTGTGGGCACTGGGCCCCCTGGCTCCTGGTTCGCAAAATTTCCAGGCACTGGTTCTGCCCTTCTTGGGCTTCGAGCCCCTGGCCCTGTCTCAGCCCCTCTCAGGCACTGAGCCTGCTTCAGCTTTAACTGGGTTCCTGGCCCCTGTCCTCCTCCCCTCTCAGGCAGTGGGTCCCTGCACCCTGTCTCTTCCCCTCTCAGGTGCTGGGCCCCTGGCCCCTGTCTCCGTCTTTCCTGGGTGATGGCCTACTTGGCCCCTGTCTCTGTCCTTTTCAGGTGCTAGGCCTGCTTTTGCTCTGCTTTGTCGTTCTCAGGTCTCTGGGCCCTCTCACCCCAGTCTGTGCCTTGAACCTGATCCCTGGTCAGATAATACATGTCAGTTCAGGCTTAGGGCTGAATACCAAAGGGTGAAATTCCCTGTTTATGCCTCCAGATCTTTAAATGCAGGTAGCTACATTATACAAATTAGACTTTATCTATTTCCTTGAGTGTGTCACCCCAATTAGACTGACATTAAACTTGGTGCAATGAAATTAAAACATGTTCACTCCCAGGTTTTTCAATTACATCATTGAAAGTATGGGTGGGATCACACATTACATCTAGATCATGTTAAAGCACTTAAAACTTGAATGATCATAGGTTAAATCATGTTAACAAGTGCTAAGTACCCTGTAGGCATCTTACAAATTATAGCAGTTGAGGCAAGAATTATCTTTAAGTTGTCCTGGGCAGCTCAATATATCTTAACTTCTAAATGTTCCATGGAGATTGTAGCAGGGCACTAAGGTGCCTGCTACTTGGAAAGAGGGAGTAGTGGCTCCGGTGCCAGTTGCTAGGGGCAACTGGAGGGAGTTAAGGGCACGCACCTGTTTGGTCAGCTGAACAGAAGGGGCAGCGCCTGGCTCAGACATAAATCGCAGGCCAAAGCCCAGAGAGGGAGACAGCCTGCAGCCAAGGAGGAAGGAGCTCGGCCCTAAATGTGTGAAAAGGAAAAGGCCTGGATGTGCGAGCAGCTAGTGACATGGGTGAGAGATGGAACACCTGTGGAGTGGTTCAGAGGACATTTTAGCCATGAGGCATAGATTTGTGTTATAGCCGAGGGGCTTGTGTTTTGGTTGTTGTTACACCAGAGGTTTGGGCGAGGCTATAAGGGAGGAGGCCTCATAGGGGAACCACGTTAGAGTGTGGACCCTAGCCCGAGAGAGTGGGCAGCACTGCTGAGAAGCCCCGAGAGAGTGGGCAGCACTGCTGAGAAGCCCCAAGAGGGTGGGCAGCACTGCTGAGAAGCCAGAAATGGTGCAGCGGAGGGAGTGTGCCTCCCAGACTGCCAGAAAGGACAGTGCAGGGAGGGCATTGACCCTGAGCAACCACAAGGGAGCAGCAGAGGGGGAGGTGTCATCCCCAAGTGCCAAGGCCAAGGCGCAGTATTGGGAGAGTACCCCAGAAGGCAGAACAAAGAAGGTCATGGAGAACCTGAGTGCTAGTGAGGCTCGGGGTGAGCAAGAAGCCCCAGACAGTGGGCAGCGAGAAGCCCCAGAGAGAGAGGGGCAGCGACGGATGTTGAGCCCCGCGAGGTGCAGCATGAGGTGGGACTCCAGAGAGCCCGAGTGAGATGAGACTGTGAAGGGACAGAGCGTCAACAGGACGCAGAGTGAGGCAGGGCTGTAGAGCACCCAAGTACCAGGGAGACCGAGGTAGGTCCGGCACATGGCAGGAAAACCATAGTCAAAGGAACAAAGGGCAGCATCCCTACAATAAATACATAACATCAAAGACTTGGCAGGCAACATTGCAAGGGCACTTAGAGAACGCTTGGCACAGTACAAAAGGCGGTCCCTAGGAGAGTGCACAGTGACCCTAGGACTCCATTTTGCTACAGAGATAAAATGACCTTTTGAGATTCTCCAGTATCCCAGGAGTCACCATTCCCAGGTGGACCAGCTGTTCTCCTGGACTCTGATGTCTCCATGATGATATGTCTGACAGCAGAGCTGTGGCAGGTGAATGAGGAAAGGAGGGAAGCGGGGAGGCCCCAGGGGAGCTGCCAAGTCTCAGCAAGGCCCAGCAGGATATGCAGACAAAGTGTGGGAGGGGGAACACAGTGCAGGGAGCTGCTGGGCTGCAGGTGAGGCCAGTTGGATATACACATAAACACACCCACCCAGCAAACATAAACCCCCAGCATATGGATACTCCTGCATGCATGCTCACACACATCCTTGGCACATGCACACCCCCCCCAGTATGCACACACATGCACACATTGCCAGTACACACATCCCTCCAGCAGTCTCCTGTAGCATGTGGGCCCCCACCCCATATACACATACATAAAGACACTCTCCAGCAGGAAAACTCCCAAGCAAATCCTCACAACACACACACACAGAGAACACAAGCACAACCCGCCCCCCCAGCACATGCACATACACACAGGCATAGCCCCCAGCAAGCTCCACTCCAGCTAACACATACACACACACATGCATGCACTCATGCACACACATCCCCGTGTTATCCAGATTACAGGTAACCTTCTGGGTAGGCTACTGATAAGAGGCAGAAACTGATCTACAGCCCAACATTTTATTTGCCTGCACTTTAACACATTGTAATAGGGTGAGGATTAACCCTGTTCCTAAGGGGAGGTTGAAGGGGCTTGGTAGGTGAGCAGTAAAGAGAACACGGGTCAAAGATGGGGCAAGGGCAATTACAAGGTTCAGTTCAGGTGGTAGCACACTGGAAAACTATTAGAATTGCATGATTGACCTGGTGGTTGGTGACACCTAAAAGGACTAGGTGGGCAGCTGTTCCTTATTCCCTGGGGCACCACGAGAGACAGAGAGGAATGGCAAGGGAATCCAGTGCAGAGAAAGAGATGGCAGAGAAACTGATGAAAGGAGGAACACCAGAGTCGGGCTCAGCATGTGAGGATATAGCCACAGTGAGACCCACTCAGAAAGAGGTGAGGAAAGAAGAGGTACTTACCTTCATAGAGGCCAACAGTCAGGATGATCCCTGGAGGAGGGACATAGTGACAACCAGTGGAGAAAAGAAAGTTATTAAGGAGGTGACCTACAGGCAGGGAGCCTAAGGGAATGAGGAAGGAGCATGGATGTTGGCTGGTCTGTTATCTAGCTGCCTGTAGACATTTACAGGGAGCACCGTGATAAATCAAATAACTTTTACTTTCTGTGTGGGGTGATTGACTAACCTACATCTCACCGGGGAATTTACTTTCTCTTTTTTCCATCAAATCAAGGTGTGGCAGAATAGTCCCCAGGGAGACAATTCATTGTTCACTCAGAACCTCACAACACACATAAAAACAAACATTTACCCCAAAGTCTGTGTGGGTACCCATGCCAACACAACATAGATTATTACCTATACTGGCTGGGGAAACTCAAGAAGTGGGAGGAGGGTAGCATGCAGGTTGACAATTCTTCTTGAATTTGCTGAGTTCTGCAAATTTCCTTCCAGCCTGTGCCCAATATTTATAGATGTCTGCTTCTAATATGTTTATAAATGATCTCTGATTGGTTTTATATGCATTTCTTTGTTTCACTTTTGGAACTGAACTGAACCAGATCTCTTGTGGGCTTGGAAGTTGTCTTAATTGGAATTTATGTCCCTGGGTAAGTAAAAGGGAGGGGTTTTTTTAAATCTCATTTCCTTCCCCATTGTGGAATGCTGTTCAACATTGGTCTTTTTCTTTTTTACCTTACTTTATGGTCTTCTCTGACAAGGCTGTTTTGTTTTGACAAATTTTCTAAGCATCTTAACAAAAATATATCTAGTATAGAAAAATAACATCTAATACATCAATCACTACTAATAATATTTTAAGATAAAGCTATGATACACTGTGTTTGGATTATTTATTATATGTCTCCTTTATAATGTCTCCTTTTAGGCTTTGTGCTTTGTTTAATTGTGTTTAGTTACACATATGGATGGCTTCTTTACTGACCAAGCTAGTTGTCACATCTGCAAAGGTTCATGCTACAGTCACTCAGAAACAGACTTTGGGGCCTTCTACTTAGCCATACTTCTGCAGCTGGGCCTGGGCCCCTTGAAAATGGCCAAAGCTGGCAACAACAGCCCAAGACTTGAGTTTGTCTGCTCTCGCCCTCAGGGGATTTAGGTGGAAGCAGCAGCTGGCAGAGAGCCATCCCTGAGTATGTGGGTCCTGGTAGAATAAAGGGAGTGTGAGCATGCATGCACCCTGAGGCTATGCATAGATCTGTATGTGTATTGAGGTATGGGGGTGGGGGGCGGGGCGTGTTACTGCTAGAAAGCCAGGAAAGCAGGGTAGGCATGGAGCAGACTAGCCACACACTTGCTCACCAACCTTCTTCTAGTGGCAGGTTATATCTGTGAGTGTTACAGAGGGTTTTAACCCCAAATGTGTAACTGTTCACAGCATGTGCAAATGTTAACAGTTACCTAACATTCCTTTAAGCTGGCATGTGCTGCTTGTAACATGTAAGCATACCCTATCATCAGTGTAAAAGGTAGTGAAGAGTCTTATGTTTGTAAGACCATTTTGTTTCTAAAGACTTTTTCCTCTAAGTTGTCAAATTTGCAGCCAGATAGTATTAGGAGTCACTTTTTCTATAATCTGTTTACAAAATAGGTGAGGGTTTGTTTCTTTGTCCAGGCCTTCATGAATGATGGAAACTAGGTTGTAAACACTTTGAGGAAGGAACTTGTCTTCACTTTGTCTTTTCATAGTATGCAGCACACCAGAACTCCTATTTTTATTATGACTATAGGCTGGAGTAATAGCTGAAATGGAGTAACACCTGAATGCATACATTCTGTAATATGTTCACTGGCTGCAGACAGAATTCACAAAACTCTGTTTTGGGTAGGTATTCACTAAAAGACTGTGCAGCTATGACACTGAGATTAAGGAGCACTCCTTGTACTTTTTAAATCCATGATTATTAAATGGCTTTAGCCTTCAATGCAGAAGCAGCCTAAAGCCCTTTCCTGAATTATTCCATTTTATAGTAAAATGAATTAGAAGACATAATTATTTCTCAGGCACTAA